GGAGAAGAAGAGAAAGAAAGAGAAAGAAAGAGAGTGAGAGAGAGAGAGAGAGGAGGGATAACTCGCCACATGTGTAATAAGGTACATCACCGATATGGTGCAGTGTACTCACGCACGCCTAGGACCTGATCGAACGCTCGGTTCGACGGACTGAACACCTTCGCCGTGAACTCCTCGAAGCTCGTCGGATCCTTGAGGCTCTTCACAACGTTGTCGATGTACTTTGCTCGCTCCTCGAAGCTGATAGATCACGCATTAAGGAAATCTATGACCGGTGGTATAGACAGCGTCAGAACTGACATTGCAGGAAGTGTGATGTATGGCGAGGGACATAACAGAGTAGCACATCGGGCACGTGTAACCTTACGCGCAGTAGGTGTGCTGTGGTGGCAGCATGCAGTTGAGATTTAGTCCAAACAGTGCATTTTTAATCAGGGTATTGCGCCAAGTTTGCGAGGAGTGCATTTGTAAAGATTCTGCCTCGTTTTATTGTTGACATAAAAAGTAATAACTAACTACATTATATACATCATCAACTCTCAGCTGATAAGGTTGTTTTTAGATTATTCCCAATATTTGCCAATAGCATTTACATTGATGTTAATCATGTTTCATCACGTTAAATGTTAATATTATATCTGGAATTTAAACCAAAATCAGGTGATAGAATGCGACTGAAATCACCTATTGCCAGTTCAATGGCATCTAACATACGTACTCCTTAATGTCTTTAACAGGTAATTTGTTTGAGAAGAAACATATGGTTATATAGTTGTTTCCATGGCAACAACAAGAATAGATGCAGATGTAAATTCACGGCACTTTGCCGGCTAGGTACCATCATTTACGTCATTGTACCACTATATACATCATTAAATATGACAAACATACGCACACACGTACACACACACGCGCACGCATGCACACGCACACAAACACACTCACACACACACAGCAACACATTAACATATCATGTGTTTTATATACCATATATATATATATTGTTTTATTTATGTTTATATCAGATTTTTATATTATGTATATTTCTGCCACTCCTGATTTATATGGTTAAGATGAGTAGTAGAGTATAGTTAATAGTAATAGTTACGCAAAGAAAATAAAAGTAAAAGAAAAGGAAATAGAAAGGTTTAGTAATGAGCAAAGCAGTTGTCTGACGCTGTGACAGTGGCTTATGTAGAGGAACTGATGATGACACACAAAACAGCCGTAACCACAATCGGATACGTTCTCATTTCTTTACAGTGCGTTAACACCTGACAGTATCAATCCACTACGCGGACAAGTACTGACAAGTGCGCGTAATTCGGAATTTGGCGCGGCGATATCATGGGATTTGCTGCCTGACAATTGACGCGTGATTCGCTTCGTTGCGAGCGCTCGTTCATTAGATGGCGGCTTTTCTAATTGAAGGACTCGCTGTAACATCGGATTAGACTAGATACCGCGACGGCTGGGAAAGGTATTCCCATGGTAACTATACATCATCATCATCAGCAGCGGCAGCAGCAGCAGCAGCATCAGCAGCAGCAGCCGCAATAGCAGCAACAACAACAGCAACATGAACACCACAAGACGCAGCAGCAGAAATATATCCACGTGAACGCATATAACTAGAAGACATGCCCAGCATTTTTAAATATGGCAATGTAATGAAACTAATTTGCTCCATCGCATTGCCAAACCCCTGTATTCCTGACGACAGCGACGCAGCCGGACACACACACACACACACACACACACACACACCACACACACACACACACACACACACACACACACACACACACACAC